TTGGAGGACCAATCCTTCCTCGTCCTAGCAACCGTCTTCTCCAAAATCACCTTGAGCTCTCTATTGGTGACCTCCGCTTGACCACTCGTTTGAGGGTGGTAAGCAAGCCCTCGCTTGTGAGACACCCCATATTTATCAAGTAGTCGAACAAAGTTGTGGTGCTTGAAGTGCGATCCCCCGTCACTAATTATTGCTCTTGGAACACCAAATCTCGGAAAGATCACTTTCTTGAAAAGATTGACCACCACCTTAGAGTCATTCGTTGGAGAAGCTACAGCCTCTGCCCACTTGGATATGTAGTCAACGACAACAAAAATATACTTGTTCCCATGTGAAGAAATGAAAGGGCCTATGAAGTCTACAACCCACACATCGAAAACTTCAAGCTCAAGGATGGGGTTTTTCGGCATTTCATCCCTTCTAGAAATATTCCCCATCCTTTGACATCTATCACAAGTCTTGACAAATATCCAAGAATCCTTGAATAGAGAAGGCCAAAAAAGCATAGATTGAAGGACCTTTGAGGCGGTCTTTTGAGCACTCATGTGCCCACCACAAGGAGAAGAGTGGCACATATGGAGAACACTTTGAACCTCGTCGTTGGGGACGCATCTCCTCAACAAACAATCGACCCCTCTCTTCAATAAAATGGGATCATCCCAAATGTATCTCTTGGGCTCGTGCTTGAGTTTTCGACGTTGTTGCGAAGAGAAATCCGGCGGTATGGCACTACAAGCTAAGTAATTCACAATATCCGCATACCACGGCTCCGATACACTTCAAGGACATATAGCACATCATCTCTTAGAGCGTCCTCTATTGGCATGCCATCATCTTCAAACCTTGCACCGCCCAACCTTGAAAGGTGATCCGCCACCACATACTTGGCTCCCTTCTTGTCTCTCATCTTATAATCGAAGTCTTGGAGGACTAAAACCCATCTCAACAACCTTGGTTCCTTCTTCCCTATCAAATATTTGAGAGCCGAGTGGTTGGTATACACAATTGTCTTAGAACCAATGAGGTAGGTTCTAAACTTCTCAAATGAATGGATAACCGCTAGGAACTCCTTCTCGGTAGTTATGTAGTTTCTTTGGGCATCATTGAGAGTTTTAGACAAATAATGTATGACATGAAGTTTCCCATCCTTTCGTTGCCCAAGAACCGAACCAATAGCCTCGTCGCTTGCATCGCACATGAAATCAAATGGAAGAGACCAATCCTCACCTTGGACGATAGGGGCGGTGCAAAGGGCTTTTTTCAACCTACAAAAAGACTCTTGACAAGCATCATCAAATATAAACTCTTTATATTGTTGCAATAGGGATGTGAGGGGCTTTGTAATCAATGAATTTTTTTTTATAAAATGCCGATAGAACCCGGCATGGCCAAGAAAGAATCTCACTTCCCTCACGTTGGTGGGGGGAGGGAGTTTCTCAATGACCTCAACCTTGGCTCTATCAACCTCAATGCCCTCATGTGAAATTTTGTGCCCAAGAACAATCCCACTTTCTACCATAAAATGGACCTTTTCCCAATTCAACATGTGGTTAGCCCTCTCACATCTTTCCAAGCAACGAGATAAATTAGATAGACAATCTTCATAGGTGACTCCTCCAACGGAGAAGTCATCCATGAAGACCTCTATCACTAAAAATGGACATCATGCAACGTTGGAATGTTGCGGGGGCATTACAAAGCCCGAAAGGCATCCTACGATACGCATAAGTACCGTAAGGGCATGTGAAAGTCGTCTTCTCTTGATCCTTGGGGTCAATCGGGATTTGGAAAAATCCCGAGTAACCATCAAGGAAACAATAGAAGGAATGCTTTGTAAGCCTTTCCAACATTTGATCAATGAACGGTAGTGGAAAATGATCTTTGCATGTAATTGTGTTAAGTTGGCGATAGTTAATACACATGCGCCAACCGGTAACAAGTCTAATGGGTACTAGTTGATCATGATCATTTTTCACTACCGTCATGCCCCCTTTCTTAGGCACAACTTGCACGGGAGATACCCAATCACTATAAGCAATTGGGTAAATAATTCCCGCATCAAGAAGCTTAGCTACTTCCTTCCGCACAACCTCTTGCATGGAAGGGTTAAGCTTTCTTTGCCTTTGCCTAACGGGTTTGGCATCTCCCTCTAGATCAATTTTGTGCATACATAAAGATGGACTAATACCTTTGATATCATCAATGGTATAACCCAAAGCTTTCTTGTGTTTTCTCAAAACATTGATCAAGAGGGAGGTTTGCTGCTTCGTTAGGTTAGAATTTACAATCACGGGGAAAGACTCATCAGGACCAAGAAATGAATACCTCAAGCCCAAAGGTAGAGGTTTCAAGTCTACTTTTGGGGCTCCCTTACCATTAGGGCTCTCTTCTCTTTCTTCAACTTGAAAGAGGTCATGAATGTAAGGAGCCTCTTCTTGCACTCCTTCTTTCTTTCCTCAAGCAAATCCTCATAGAATTTTATGTCTTCTTTGTGAGTACCTATCTTTGATTCATTCAACAACACACTTTCAAGAGGATCATTAGTAGCATGCAAGTGGGAGCGAGAAAATTTATTAAGAACGGTATCAAGAACATCTACCCTAAAGCATTCACTACTTGAGGAGGGTTGTTGCATGACATTATTCAAATCAAACTCAATAAAATCATTGTCAATCTTCAAGGATATCTTCCCCTCTTTCACATCGATGATAGCTCTAGAAGTAGCTAGAAATGGTCTACCCAAAATTATAGGAATCCTCTCATCCTCATCCATCTCTAGCACATAGAAATCCACGGGGAATGTGAACTTTCCTACCCTTAGGGGAATGACCTCAACTTTGCCCATGGGGAACTTAACAGAACGGTCCGCTAGTTGGAGAGTAATGTTAGTGGGGGAGATGGTTCCTACACTAAGCTTTTGGTAGACGGAATAGGGCATGAGACTCACACTTGCTCCTAAATCACACAAGGCTTTATCAAATTCAATGCCATTGATAGAACAAGGGATGGAAAAGTTACCCGAATCTTTTAATTTGGTAGGAAGTTTGTTGGAAAGAATTGCACTACAATTGGCGGTCAAACTCACCGTCTCACACTCCCTTCTCCCACTCAAAAGGTCTTTCAAAAATTTGGAATAGTGGGGCATTTGCTTCATAGCATCAACAAAAGGGACGAAAATATGCTAATTCTCAATGACTTCCAAAAACTTCCCAAATTGGGCATCAAGTTTAGCTCTCACAAACTGTTGTGGAAAGGGTAGCTTCTCCTCTCTAGGTTGGCGATTTAGGGGCAAGGGGGTGGCTTCTTTTTCCTTGGGCACCTCAACATTTTTTTCCTTTTCAACACTCAATGGCTCATTGAGTTTTTCACCCTCATTCTCTAACTCCACCTCTCCTTGGGTTCTTCCTCAACTAAAGGGTCAATACCTACTACCTTCCCACTCCTAGTTGTCACGACATACAAAGGTTTTAGGTTGACTCCTTGACTTGGGATGTGAGAAGAAGAAGAAGAAGAAGAAGAAGAAGAAGAAGAAGAAGGGGATGAATTAGATTCAAGTTGAGCAATTTGGGTCTCAATCATTTTCATATGAGCATTGGTTCATTTTTCGGCCTCTTCATGTTTCTTTTGATCCTCCTCACGCGTTTTCAAAAGAGCATCTAATTTAGCCATCACGGGATCAATCGGAGGGGATTTAAGCTGAAGAGGTTGTTGAGGTGGAGGAAGTTGGGGTTGATGGAAACCCGAAGGCCTATTAGTTTGGGCATAGTTAGAAACAAATTGGCCCCTATTTCCTCCGATGCCTTGGTTAGGAACATTGCTTTGTTGATTATTTCCCATGTTACCTTGATCACCAAAATTTTGATTTTGATGGTCATGGTATCGGGAATTAGGTTGTTAGTTTTGATTACCATACCCCCTTTGGTTAGAGTAGCCTCTTTCATTGAAGTTGGAAGGGCCTCCCCTACCATGGTATTGGTTATCATAACCACCACCACTTTGGTTCCAACCACGGTTTCCAGCTTGATTCCAATTCCCCATTTGAGTGGAGTTTGGCCTCAAGTTCCCCACATTTCCCATTCTAGGAGCAAAATTCATAGCATTGACATTTTCCATATTATCATCATGTTCATGAGAAGGGGGTTGAACTTCACAAGCATATACACAATGAGAGGTATCATGATCATAGGTTTCAAAATTAGAGCAAAACATGCATCCTTGGGGCATTATATTGTAAGAAGAGGAGGAGGAAGTATCCATACCATTGCCTCCCTTGGTTGAAGGGGAGGTACTACCATGAGGGTTGGACCTTTCTTTCATCAATTCATCCATTTGCTTGGTCATTTTGGAGATTTGGGTAGATAGATTGTTGATTGCGTTGGCTTTCTCCAATGCATAAACACCCTTACTAGAAGTAGCATCCCTTTCTCCTTCGTACCAATCATCATAGTGCTTTGAGGACTCCTCTATAATACACTCCACTTCATGCTCTCCTTTGTTCATGATTGGACCGCCAGCCGCGGCGTCTAGGCTTGTTCTTCCTTGAGGTGTGAAACCTCCATAGAAAGTGTGAATGAGTTGATACTTGGGTATCCCATGGTGTGGGCATTGACGTTGAAGCTCTTTGTATCGTTCCCATGCCGCACTTAGAGACTCACCACTCTTTTGGCGAAAACCTTGAATAAAAGACCGAGCCTCGGCGGTCTTCTTATGGTTATAAAACGTCCTCAAGAAAGCCGTAGTCACTTGGTCCCATGTTGTGAGAGAATTAAGGGGCACCTCCTTCTCTAGCCATTCTAGACCTCTCCCAATTAGCGAAAATGGAAACATTTTGAGGCGAATATATTCTTGAGTCACTCCATTGGCCTTTATTGTGTCACAATATTTCTCAAACTCTTTTAGGTGCTCATGAGGACACTCAAACTTTCCACCCGAGAATTGTTTCCTCTTAATCAAAGCAATCAAATTAGGCTTGATCTCGAAATTGTTGGCTTGAGTAGTAGGAGTTAGGATCCCACCACTAGTAGAAAAAGTTAAAAAGGCACCGCTCAATGGCCACCGGTTTTTGAAAACCGGTGGCAAAAATAGGGGAAAAAATGCGCAGGATTTTGAGGTATTAGAATTGCCACCGGTTCATACCAAACCGGTGGGAAAATAAAAATCCCACCGGTTCAAACCGGTGGCTTAGATATAGTTTTAAAAAAAAAAAAATTCGCCCCTTATAAACCCCAAACCCTAATTGGATCATCAGTTCATCAATCCCCTCCCCTCCTCCTCAATCGTTTCTCTCTCCTGCACTCCCCTCCCCTCCTCCTCTTTCTCTCTCCTGCACTCCCCTCTCCTCCTTCGTAATCTGCGCGACCATCAGTTCTCCCCTTTCTTTCTCTATCCTCTCTCCCCTCTCCTCCTTCTCTTTCTCATCTTCTTCTCTCTCGATCTGATCTCTTCTCCTTCGATCTCCTTCTCGTCTCCTTCTCCTTCTCTTTCATTTCCACCACCACCAAGACCATCGCCGCAACCACGAACACATGCATGAGCAACAACAACTTTAATCAAGGTTAGGGTTTGATTTTAATCAATTTTATATGATTTTAATCGCATTGTATTCGCTTTTTATTCGATTTCTTCTGGGTTTTTAAATGGAAGTTTTGGGTTTTTAATTCGGTTTTCTTTAATTTCTTCTGTTATGATTTTAATCGATTTCTGCTGTTATGATTTTAATCGATTTCTGCTGTTATGATTTTAATCGATTTTCTTCGATTTCATCTGGGTTTTTTAATTAGAATTTTTCTGGGTCTTTTTTATTAGAATATTTCTGGGTTTTTTATTAGAATTTTATGGGTTTTTAAATCCAAGTTTTGAGTTTAAAAATCGATTTTAATTCGATTTATGTGATTTTAATCAATTTTATTCGATTCTGTTTTTTTTTTTTTTTTAAATCGAATTTTTTTGGGTTTTTTAAATCGAATTTTATGATTTTTATAATCGATTTTAATTCGATTTCTATTTGATTTTTATTCGATCTTCTTATGGGCTTAATTTGATTTTAATTATGGGTACATGCTTTTTCTGGGTTTTTTTTTATAAAATGATTTTAATCAATTTATGGGTACATGCTCGATTTATGGATACATGCATAGTGTTTTGAGTTTTGTTTTTTTTTTTCGCAGCTTATGTATATTAGTCTATTTATTTTTTGTTTTGGTTGACGCAGGTACATTGATTTAGATCTTAATCGAATAATCATGATGCAGGAATATTGTTTTTGATGTTGTATGGTTTTTTTTTCTATTTTGATGATGTAATATTTTTTTTTGATTTATATGTTGTAATTGATCAATTTTATTGATTTATATTGTAAATAAAATTTCAATTATATAGATTGATATTGTTTGATTTATATTTTGATGTTTGTAATTTTTTTGACTGAATTGTTCTGTTATATTTCTTTTTGAAAAAGACAAAAAAAATAAAAAATTATTATACATGTTATTGCCACCGGTTAACCGGTGGCAAAAATAATTAATACCCAGACGATATTTGCCACCGGTTAACCGGTGGCAATACCCTTTTTGCCACCGGTTTTGAACCGGTGGCCTTGCTTTGGAGTATTGCCACCCCCCAAATGACCACCGGTTCAAAACCGGTGGCATTGGGGGGTTTTGAACCGGTGGCCAATTCATCTTTTCGTCTAGTGCACTTTGTGCTCTAAAAGCTTCGGGGGCCCCAAGACGACTCAAAGGCGTATTCTCTCCCATTTTAGAACCTCCTTCACTCTCGAACTTATAGGTTGAGAAAGGGTTGATTTTCGAACTCGAAGATGAGTTAGGGCTATCTAATTCTTCACTTGAGGGTGAAGAGGTTGGAGTATCTTCTAATTCACTTACTTCTCACGATGGAGTGTGAGAATTTCTACTCCATGCTCTTGCTTCTCTTCGAAGTGGGACAAAGACCTCTCTAGCTCTGGATCGATGGGAATCAAAGTTGAGCGGCTTTGTCCTCTGTTCATTCAACAAAGCTAAGAAGAACGTAAGCACTAACAAGTAACAAAAGTAGCAAACACTTAACAAATAAAAGATGAGATAGTCTCAAACAAGCAATGAAATAGCAATGGAAGCCGTCTCCCCGGCAACGACGCCAATTTGACAAAGGAATAATTGCGTCGGCAAACAACCACACCTAAATAAAATACAATTTATAATACTCGACTCAACCTATTACAAATATAGGGCAAGTAGAGGGATCGAACCACAGGGAGAAATGCATAAACACCGCATTCATTACCTAGAGTCTAAGCTATCTCGGAACAAGAAGTGTGAATAACTAAGAGATTAAACTAAGAACGAGATGGATTAAAATTAATATAACTAAGCACCAAGGGAAATGGGTAGATGTAGATGCCGTTTGATCATGCAATAACAAAGTGGCAAATCAATGGTAAACTAAACATGCATGAATATCGAAGTAAGGCCCAATCTAATCGCCTTCCGGGGTTAATCGGTTTCTCCTAACATAGCCTCTATGTTTCCACACTAGAACCATATATTAGAAGGTGCAATCAAAGAACTATCGATAGTAATGAATCTCAACTAAGTCAACTTCCATTACTTGTTAGCAAAGACTCACCTTTAATCAACTAACAATGTGCACTTGCATGAAGATCAAAGAATATCAAGCATGCAAAGACTTTAATCACCATTAACAATACCCCATCATTATAAGCATGAAAAATTAGCAAGTACACCATCCCCACAACCTTGGGTAGGTGACTACTCACAAATCATATTGAAAACAATATCAATCATCAAATCGATAAGCATCAACATGATTAATAAGCAAAGAAGAAAAATCAAAGAAAATAAGAAATATCAAAAACAAAAGTAAAGAGAAAGAGTAAGAGATTGCTCATTAATTGAAGATGAAGGTCTAAAAAGGATTGAACAAACTCCTTCTTCAAAATCTAAGTTCATCAATGAAGAAAAACCACACTTTCTCTCTCTACCAATGAAGACTAATAGTGTTTCTCCCTCTAGATTAAGCTAAAAGTGCCGAAAATTGTAACTAAGTTAATCTAATTACCTCAAAACGTTCTAAGATGTGACTTATATAGTCCGTACAGAGCCACCTGAGAAAAGGAGAGGTCCGACCGAACAATGGGAAGGTTCGGCAGGACTACAGGGTAGGTTCGGCCGAACCATGGGTAGGTTTGGTCGAACCTCCCTGATCCTGGTCTGACCACTCCTACAAAATTGCCAAATTGCAACTTGTCCCTGCCTCGATGTTCGGCAGAACCACTGAGCAGGTTCGGCCACACCTTCAGGAGGTTCGGTCGAACCTCTTCTGAATCACACTTCCTCCAGCTTCCCTTGAGCTTAGCTTCCTCCTCTTGAAAATCCCGATGGTTACTACAAAGCATAAGCATGAAAATCAGAATAAAAACAAAGCAAGAAGACTAAGAAAAGAGAAGATAAAGGAGAAAGAAAAGAGGAAGCAAAACTAAGTAAAAATGTTTAGAAAAAAGGGCCAAACAAGTGCAAATGAGGGGAGAATCCTTAAAGAAAAAGGATAAAAGAGTGGCATAAATGCCACTCATCATTAGCTCAATTCTTACGAACTACAATTCACCCCCCTCTTGTAGTATTCTTATAAAGTAACAATTAGTATCAGAGCCTTATCCTCTCGAAATCAGGAAACCCTGAAGAGGAGAATCTTGGCACAAGATGAATACTCATGAAAAGCTTGAATAAGGGTACTCTACTCAACGACCTCCTATGTTCAACGGAAAATTCTATACCTATTGGAAGAACAGAATGGAGATCTTCATCAAAGCAGAAAATTATCAAGTCTAGAGAGTTATCGAAGTAGGAGACTTCGAGGTAACCAAAACCAATGCTCAAAACGAGGTAATTCCTAAACCAATGTCTGAATATGAGAAAGAAGACTTTGATAAAATGGAAATCAATGAAATGGCTGTTAAACTGCTTCATTGTGGGCTTGGACCACATGAACACAATCGTGTTATGGGGTGCAAGAACGCAAAGGAAATTTGGGATCTCCTCAAGTAACTCATGAAGGAACTAATGAAGTGAAACGTTCTAAAATCAATTTACTCATGTCTCAGTATTAATGTTTTGAGATGCAACCCAAAGAATCTATCTAGGAAATGCTTACTAAATTCACTAACATTATTAATGAACTAGTTTCTCTTGGTAGAAAAATTCCTACTGATTAGCAGTTTAGAAAGCTGCTAAGAAGTCTTCCTCAAGACGAGCGTTGGAGAGCTAAGGTGACTGCCCTTCAGGAAACAAAGGACTTCATAACGTTCAACATTGAACAACTTGCTGGTTCCCTCATGACACATAAGCTTTGTCTAGGAACCAGTAACAGTGAAGGAAACAAGAACAAAGGGCTAGCACTGAAAGCTGACCAGGAGGAATCATAAGTGGATGAAGAAGAAGCAGCAATGCTAGTCAAGAGATTCAAACGAATGTTCAACAAGAATGGCTGGAACTCCAGGAACTTTCAAAAGAAGTCATCTAACTCTAAACCAGACTATTGATGTTACAAATGTGGATCAACTGATCACTTTATCAGAGACTGTCCTCAATGGGATATTGAGAAAGGAAAAGGGAAGTTCAAAGAACAAGGAAAAGAGAAATACAAGACTCCTTTTTCAAAAACCGATGTCAAGAAAGCAATGATTGCTGCTTGGGGAGACTTTAAAAGTGAGGAAGATGAAGATCAACCTGAAGAGGAAACTGCCAACCTTTGCTTGATGGTAAAGTTTGATGGCAGGCATGCATATCTCAAGGAACTGGAAAATGAGGTAAGTGAAAGTAACTTTGATAATGCTAAACTTAGATCCTTACCAAAGATGCTTTATTTGATCTTATTGTTGAAATGGAAATAAATCTAAGTGATGAATGCATGCAAAGGAACGAGTGTCAAAAGGTTTTGCAAATCTGGAAGGATCACAGTGCTTGGCTGGAAACAACAAGAAATGATATTCAAACCAGATTTGGAGAGCTACATGACAAATATCTTCTTATGTCTGAAATGCTTGAAAGTGTTAAAAAGGAAAATGTCATGTTAAATGTCGAACTTTCACAGTATAAACTAATTAATGTTGATATTAGTTCTAGTAGTTCCTCAAATGATTCCATGCTGAAATTCAATGCTGATTTTGAAAAACTCAAGCTAGATCTTGAGAACTTAAAATCTCACAGTGATAAGCTTGAAAAGGAACTGCAGGGTAGAAAGAATAGAAGCATTGATCCTAATGCTAAACCTAAATGGATCAAGGATGCTCAAGTCAAGAGAACTGAGGGACTTGGGTATGAGTCCAAAAGGAAAGGGAAACAGAAAAAAATATGTAGACCTACCTAATAGCAAAGTTTTTACTTTCTGTGGAAAAAACTGGACATTTACACTCTGATTGTAAAAAGAAGTTAGAACATGACAAAAGAAATGTTAAGCAAGTTTGGGTAAAGAAAATTTATATTGAATCAACATCAAAGGAGCCCAAAGATCCCAGGGTTCCTGAAACTAACACTTATGTTTTCTTGTAGGTCCTAGTGAAGGGGAACAACCTATGGTACCTTGACAGCGGTTGTTCAAAACATATGACTGGAGATAAATCAAAATTCCTTTCACTAGAGACCTATCTAGGAGGAACAATGACTTTCGGAGACAACAAGAAAGGAGAAATCATTGCTAAAGGAAAAATTGGAAAGTCAACCTCCCATGTAATAGAAAATGTGTTCCTGGTCGAGGGTTTGATGCACAATCTACTCAGCATATCACAATTCTATGATAGAGGAAACTTGGTAAGCTTTACTTCTGATGAATGTCATATCTTCAATAACAAATCAGGAAAGGTTATTCGAAAAGGAATGAGAAGAGGAAATACGTATGTGGTTGACCTTGACTCAATCTCAAAGAGCAGCCTTAAATGACTGAGTGTTATTGAAGAGGACTCTCTAATTTGGCACAAACGCTTTAGACATGCTATCTATGCGTTAATTAATAAACTTAGGTCAAAGGACTTGGTTGTAGGACTACCCTCTATCAAGTTCCTTGATGATAAAATCTGTGATGCCTATGCAAAAGGAAAGCATGTCTGAAGCTCATTTAGATCCAAAAAGATGGTCAGTACCACTAAGCCATTAGAATTAATTCATACGGATTTATGTGGTCCCATAAGAGTCTAAAGTGGGAGTGGCAAGAAATATGTGTTACTTATAGTTTATGATTACTCTAGATTTACCTGGGTGATTTTTCTAACAAGTAAAGAAGAGACCT